CTTCATCTAGTGCTTTACAATCGAGCATCTGGTGATCAATTTTTAGAACATTTCCATGGTTTCTCTCTTCAGAATATTCCTTGTAGATATCAATCAACTCTCCTATAAACCCAAAGGTATTCGCAGGAGAGACTTTGGTTTCGAATGGATTTGCTTGTTCCTTCCATTTAACTTTTTTGAACCTTTTTCTTTTAACTGTATCTTGATCGGGTTGATAAACGAAAATCTTATTTTCATATTCACAGTTCCATCCTTTTCTTTTACAACTCAGACATCCATTTAAGGCCTCGTCGCATTTTATACTGCTTTTCTTACAGTTGATGCATCCACTATGACTGTATTTTTTTCTAGGTTTCATTCAAGTGAAATCGTAAATTTAGTAAACTTTGAGAAATTTACGATTAAGATAAGCGAGATTCGCGAAAATATTGTGATAAGCCAAAGAGGTACTATTGCAACTAAACATCTCAAAACCAATATACTCGATCAGGTTTCTGATGGAAAGAACCATAAATACCAAAAAGAATACTACCATATGATTTATTAGCTGTAATGGCATGAGGACACCGCTCAACGCAAGGCGGGTCTCATCTTGAATTTATACCGGAACAAGAATTTCGTGGAAAGCGGTCGAGATCTGTTTCCCATGGGGAATATCTGCTATTATCTTATTTTTGACACTTTGAAGTTGCTTTGAACACCATAAAAGATTAAGGTTTTCAGCTAGCTTGAATTCATTTTCATGTTCTTGGTAGCACTTGTGTTCTATCTTCATTCAACATTTTTCCTTTCCTCCTTAATATTTCTTCATAATATGACAAAATTTCAAGTTCACTAGCAAGTACTTGGCCCTCCACTTTTTCCATATCATTTATAAGAACTTCAACATCATGAGAACTTTCGTAACTAGTAACATCATCACTATCAATGCCAATTGCTTTCATGTATTCATCTGAAATCTTGAAGTATTTTCCATCGGGACCAACTGCTCCAACCAGATACCATTCATTATTGACCTTGTACTGAGCGCCATTCGTTTTGTATCAATAACAAGTCACCTACATTAATATTCGAGGGACCAGACTCATAAAATACTGCTTTGGATCCTGAAATAATTCGATCATATATGGATATTCAATCGGCCGATTAAGAATTGGATAGCCGTATTTACTCCAATCAGTTGAATTAAAGACAATTGGGCCAACTTTTGGCTCTGTAGCACTACCTAAGTTGAAGTATTTGAAAGCTATAACTGATATGATTGATATGAATATAATTGATAAAAGCATAATTTATTTGATTGTTGATTATCATACCCTTGGAACCTACAAATGACATGTCTTAGCCACCCCGTGCTGTGAAGAAATTGGAGCCGTGCGCCTCGTTCATGGGCCGAGCCGTTCATTTCTTGCAGCCGAGGGCGTGTGTGGTTCATAAATGCGGTGTTGAAAGGCAATGATTTGCAACCAGAAATTCTCACACGAATGAGAGAAAGAAACGGCTGGGTCTAGTGTATAGTGGAAGTAGACAAAACTGGCTTTATATGCTGAAAAGAGGTGGTTTTGTGGGTTTTCATGCGGTGCCTAAAAGTACCCCAACTCCGCGGTCACGTGACACAATTCACCTTTCATATTGCCGTGCGCCGCACTAAACTTTATATCCATTAAAGGGGAGGTCCTAAAAGTCTAATAATGAACCTTGATGACTTACCATGTGAAGTAATCACACATTGCTTTTCGTACTTGAGCACAAAACATCTCGTCAAGATATTACTGTTGGAGAACATTTCTGAAAATATCCTCCAAGCTTTAGCTGAGAATTGCAATCATTTATGGCATTCGAAGCAAATTCGGGGGATCGATATAAGAACAATTGAAGGTACTGAAGATATTGAAGGAATTCAAGGCATTGAAGGTACTGGAGTTTACAATGAAACTGACTTTGACCGGTTTCTACAAATACATAAGATCCTTGAAAAGAAGTCACTCAAATGTCCTCTTTGGTTTCATTGTAGATGGGAGAACATTTTTGACATGGAGAAAGATCTTGATGAAATAAATATGGTTTACAATGGACAAAAGTTGGGCATTAGTGTTGACTTCAAAGACCCGGCGTTTCAAGTCTATCCCATTTTTTCAGACCATGACATTAATCTCAAAATCACTTGCCTTTCATTGAACCCATTTCGTGGATATTGTATCGATTTGAATAATTTCCCGAAATTGGAGACTTTTTATGGCGAAAAATGCGAAATGAGAGTTGACCACTCTCACCCCAGCTTGAAGACTGTAATTCTCAACCTGGTGACTTTCAGCACATTACCGACTAATTTGATAAAGTTGTTTGCAAGAGACTGCACGATAAGAATGAATGAAAACCATCCAAAGCTAGAGGCTCTCAAAGTGTTGTCTTTAAAATGTGAACGAGAGCCTTTTGGTTTCTCCTCGCTAGTCAGAGTGCTCTGGAACAAAGATTTGGAACATTTTTCGTATATCGGTGAAGGGGCAATAGAAGAGGATGAAGTCCTCACCATGGTCGGCCCCAAGGTGACAAGTTTTGGATTCTCTGGCTCAATTTCGGCGAAGATTCCCTCGCTGCTAAGCTCCTTGTACTCCTTGTATGGCGGAAACCTCAAAAAGTTGACTGACTTTTCCCATTTGAGTTCCCTTACATTATGGCAGCCATCAGGTAACATCAACGATTGTAAATTACCGCCCAACTTGCTCGACCTTGCATTGTATAGGCCACGAGGTATCATCGGCTATAATTTTTTTTTACCGATCAGCTTGCGCAAACTTTCGGTTCATTGGGCTCATTTTCAAGACTTGGAAGACTTCTTTCCACCTGAAATAGTCGACCTTGAGTTAATTTGTTGTGAAATTGAGCTGATAGACGAGTGGCTAAAACCAGCCCGATTGAAGAGACTTTCACTAGAAACTAATGCGGTTTCAACTTTTAAAGCGTTTCTTCCTTGCTGTGAATATTTGTGCTTGAGAAGAAATATTTTAAAGAAAGTTGAGATTGAAGCTCCCGTTCTTGAGCATATTGACTTGGATGAAAATAAGCTTTATACAATTCCCAAACTCCCAGCTTGTCTTAAGGTCCTTATTCTCAGCAACAATGTACTATATCTTCCCATAATGTCTTAATAGCCTCCTAATTTAAAAGTTTTAGACCTCTCGCGAGCTGGTTTTGGAGCTCCTAGGAACTACACATTCCCATCATCAATTCAAGAACTAAACTTTAGAGAATCAAACTTGTCGAGTATGCGTGGAGTCAAATTTGCCAAAGGATCAGAATTGAGAGAATTGATTTTGAGCACTTGTGAATTGAATATAGTCGACGACACAATGATCGAGCTCCCCCTCGGCTTGAAATCACTAGAATTAGACAGCAATCACTTGAAACACATCAATAAGCTCACCATTCCGCAAACACTTACTTTTTTAGATTTGGGAGGTAATGATTTGAGATCATGAAAATCAAGT